AAAACATTTATCGGGATCCCCCTCTCTACCTCTTAACATCAGGACATTTTATTGATTGATTCTGTAATTAACATTAGATGACATCAAAGTTACCCCCCCCCCCCCCTACTCACACACTAAAATGCAAAAGACGTTGATATCCACACAATCAATAAAACCTTGTAGCCGTTTTCTAAAGAGAATTTGCTTCCAGACCCTTACCATTATATGCTTAAAAATGCCAGTTCACCCCCCCCCCCCCCCCGGGAACACACACAAATTTTCATAGCGTCTGTTGACTTTCTTCATTCTTTTTTCAATGAACTATTTGACAAATACCTGTATGTCTTCCCTTCCCGTCCCCAGTTGAAATTGCTACTTTCGTGCCTATTCTCATACGGCTTGATTTTGCTTTATATTTTGTCCTTTCAGCAGTATTAACTTGAAAAGACTTCATGGCGACAAAAAAATAGGTAATGAAATGAAAATGCAATTGTTAAATTTGATTTTTCCTTTTAGTTCTCTTGTTGTCGTACATGCGTATTATATATAATTCATGGATTTATATAGAAACTGTTTCATAATAGGGTATTCATTATTTTAACTCTCTTTTTATAAGAAAGAAAAGAACTTTAGGCTAAAAAATTCCAAAACAATAGATTTATCTATTTCTTCTATGCTACCTTGTCCATCCAGCTGATTTTTATTTATTTATTTATTTTTTAATTTTATTTATTTATTTATGCATTTTAGCCCAGATCGGGACAAGTGTGAGTCAATTCAACACGCAGTTTATAGAATTGAAGAGAAGAGGCTGCTTCAACGTAGCAGAGAAATAAAAAACAGAATAAAGGATAAAATTTACACAAAACATTTAATTGATAAAATATCAGCATTTTTTTTTTTTTAGAGTTTTGATCCCGCTTGTACACAAAGAATTACGGTAGTCTTAATTTCAATAAATAAATCATTAAGTAAACTTTAGTCAACATGTATATAAAGTAATGTATAAGACATAAATAAAAAAAATTTCCGTGTATCTCCTTTTATCGACAATTGTTAATTCATCCCCGATAAAAACTGCGTGTAATTGCATCACTTTCGGAAATGGTTGTCCTTTCTCAAGCTCTCTGGAATTTCGGATACGGCTATCACCTAACAATTTAGGGAATTTAGAGTCTTCAAACCATCCCTATTGCCAGCTTTCCAAAGCTTTTCTGGAGAACTATGTCCATCATATATGATCAAATGATATACAGAATGTTAATAATGATAAAAAAAAGAAAATGAGGATCGAAATTTTCAGTCCCCCCCCCCCCCCACACACACAAACGTACACACAGAGTATGCAGTATGGTCAAATTAATCTTTCACAGTTAATGTATCCGTAATTATTTTTATGGAAAAGAGGAACTCAAAACTTAATATCCATACCCCCCCCCCCCACACACACACACACATACATACATACCTAGTAATAAGTTTTTTAAGAGTTTGATTAATATCTACACATTTTTATTGTCAAATTTTGCTAAGGTGACTTGTCATTTTTTGGTTTCGCCCAGCTTCCCCCTTCTCCACTTCGTTAATCAATTTTAAGTGTCTGCTTGATGTATACAAACTTATACTCATCTAGAATGTTTGATCTCTGACACCTCGTACAGTTAAACTTTGTTAACTCAAATCCTTGGATATATCGAAGTTTGAATTGGTCCAATCAAGTTGCATGAGATAACGAGCGTTGACTGTGTGCATTATGGGGAATATGTCTTGTACTGGTAAAGGTAACTTCGAGAATGAAACAATAATATATCCTGATGTTGTGTGTGTGTGTGTGTGTGTGTGAGAGAGAGAGAGAGAGGTCCCTTTTTAACCTTTTTTTTTTTAATTTTTAAACAATTTAATAAAAATATACATACTTTTTTACTAATTTTATTTTTTTAAAATCCTTCCATAAATGATAGGTGTGAACAGTAACTTGATACGTTTTATTAGAAATATTACAGTAACTATATATCTTATTTTCCAATGAATGAGGTTAAAATCAAACAAGAGACGATGGAAATGGTACCCAACGGTTAATTCATCGGGATCGAGATGCCTCTCATACCTCGATACGTATACGGGAGGTATATACTATCCCAGTTAATGGGATTTAACCGATCTCGATACGTCCCGGTAACTGGGAAAATGGCACCGCACCAAATGCAATCTGATTTTATCATTCACTAAAATTAAATTAGCTTGAAAATTCTTTTTACTCTAATAAATTGTTACAATAGCTATTTTATATTTTATAATGCCTTTATTAAACTTTATCCCTTTTTTGAAACCTTAAATAAATTAAAATAAAAACTCTACTAATTATTTGACTTTTTGCCTTTGTTTATACTATACTAACCTTATCTCAAGGTCATGTAGTTTCAACAGGAGGGAAATTTGTATTTTCTAAAAGACATGAAAAAAACAAAGGTTGTTGGTAAGTTAAAAATAAACGTATCATCGAATTTTATGCACCTAGCCTAGAATTTAAGCCTAATAATCAATTACTTAGCAAGGTAAACCTTATATATTACTCCTATATAAACCTTGATTATCACAATCTTCTTATTCATGTTTAAATATGATTTACCATCCAATCTACATTTCAATTGGGGTTCATTTCAATCTGATATATTTTTTTTTTCAATACTCCCGACCCTGATCTGAAACGCTTCTTCTAATATATGTCAATCCCTCCTGCTCTTTCTTACCCACTTACAGGTATTGCCTTTATATTAATCTTCAATTACTGGCAATGCCTTCAATGTATCTATAGTCCTCCTCAGTCTTTTCCCACGGACCAATATACTTTTTCACAACCAATTTAGACTCTCATTTTTATTCCTCAATCTGATCCACTTTCATTATATGTATCAGTACGTCATCAGTATTAAATAACAATTAATCTATTCTTTATTTTTTTTCCCAATTCCCAATCACCGTAACCTTTTCCAACAATATTTCAGATTTAAACTCTCCTCTTCATCCGGAGACATTCATAATTACATCATATATACACACACAATTCTTCTAGCAAAATATATTCAACAAAAATAACAACCCATATTTCAATACATTTTAATTTTATTAACCACAAAATGCATTATTTTTTTTTCAAAGTTATTGCTAATCACATTCATCAAACCCAAATCTCAACTACTGTTAACACAAAACTGTTCCCCCAAAAGAAAATGGGTGAACATCCTGCAGAAAGCCTATAGCTTCACATATTTTAAAAATCATGTGAAATTTATGAATTTTGTTATTTAGAGTAACCTTCTCATTATTGAAGTTTATGAAATCATGATAAACTAAACTTTTACTAGTAAAATTTTCTTTTCAAAATTTATTCTTTTATTAAAAAATAATGTGGTACTCCCCGGGGATCGAACCCTAGCAATAAAAATCCTGAGTATCATTTCTTCCTAGACTAGCAGGCTAACCACTACACAAGTCCTGACAAATATTGGCATTTATATCATGTTTGCGATATGACCCTTGACTTAATGGACTTAAGTATTTCTTGAAAATATGCGAATGTTATGTCATAAAATGTATTTTTAAGGTATAGTGGGTCTTTGCTCCATGTTTCTGGTAACCAAAAAATGTATATTTTTACCCAAACTTTCAAGATTAACTTTCAAAAAAAAATGGAAAGAAGACCCACTCATATCGAAAAAAAAATGTTATAGTATGAGAAAATGACCCATTTTGCCCTCTTTAGTGTGTATATATTTCATAGGCAAATAATTTCAATCTTTCTGAGATTTTTTTGCAAATTTCACAGATTTTTCATAAAGTATATTTTAATGTTATACCAAATATTCAGGAAAATTTTGGTATAATTGAGATTCAATTTTTCACCTTCATGTTCCTTACTCTATAGGCTTTCCGGTTGTCATGTTCACCCATCCTCTTTATCTAAAAAGACTTTCTTATCCATTTTTTTCATCTTTTGTTTTAAAATCACAAATTTTGTACCCACGTAGAAACTTCTTAACCAATTTTCAAATAATTTTATTTTTTATTTCCCTACAGACGGCCATTTTTCTAAGGAAGTTATAATAAATAATGAAAACAAACTCGACCTTTCGAAGATTCCAACACTCAAAAGAAAAATACCAGGAACCCCAAGGAAGGGCAAGTATTTTAACCATGAAAACAAACAACTATTTCAAGAAGTCATAGCCTATCCAGAACATCTAAATTTATACAATCAATTTTACTATCTTTTCTCATGTATTACAAGACAATTTCTAATATAAGTAATATAATCAAATCACAATTAAAAGGCCCATGGGCCAAAATGCTCACCTTAATCACTTAAGCCATGCTGTTTTTCATACAACTCCTCCCATCCTACCCCTTGGAGTAATGATTCCAAAAAATGTTTTAAATACATAAAACTTACATTAAAATGAATATCAATCTTGATGACCATATTAGATTGCCTTTCCTTCTCTATTGTGGCCCAATCTCACTTCAAGGGATAATGATTTAAAAGAAACCAAACCTAATTTAATAAGGTGATATTTATATAGAAATATCAACTCCCTTGTTTTTATAAGAATAGTACATCTATAATCCCCTATATTCTAATGATAAATTACATACCAATTTCCTCTTTGATCCCCAATAATGACCCCTACCCTCACCCCAGAGGCCTTTATAACTTTAATCTATTGAATCATGAGGTTTTTAGAAATATTCCCATTATTTTAGTCTCTTCTTGATCATACCTCTTTGAAATATGTCTGTGTTCTTCATTTGAAAAAAATGAAACAACTTTCCCAAATGATTCTTTCTTGTAAGCTTGATTGATTTTTGTTCAGTTTCTCCAGAATTCCCAGTTAATTGACGGACAGACAGATGCACAAACTATACCAAAATTAAGTTGGAATTACACTCCCCTTCGCATAAAAATTGAAATGAACTAACATCTGATTAACAGTTTTAGCAAATGGAAAATCCAAAACAAGTGTTCAAGAAAATAAAATTGAACAACAGCCTGAGAATAATTCAAATCAACAATTTATTGAGATTGGATCCACTGCATTTGAGGTATTGTATGAAACTAAATATTTATTGAGGATTAAATTTCCTGATTTTTTTTTTTTACCTCTTAATAAAATTAATTTAAAAACAACTGAAAAAAATACCCTAACAAATCATTTTTAAATCAGGTATCCATTAATTTTTATCCCCCTGTTTTTCCCTCCTTCTACATTATTATCAATAATAACCACTCCTTTGCTTACAAATCTAATATTAAAAAAATTGAAAACCAAACTTCAGAAATCCAAACATGAATGCAAAATGTAAGGAACAAAATTTACATTCAATTAATACAGAGTTTACAATCCTCCCTCTAGTCCCTTATTACAACAGGAAGTTTTAATGTTAGATAGTTAACTATACATCATATCATTTACAATACTCAAAACATTCTGAAACCTGACAATCAAAACTAACCATGCCAAATCATTTACCAACTTGTCAATGAACAATTTGAAAAAAAAAATAAAAAAAATCATAAATGCATATTCATCCACATTTTGATATACATTGTTTTTTTAAGACAAGCATAGTAAAAAAAAACCCATCCTTCTTTTCAACATTAAATACTTTACTTTTTATTTCAATGTATAAAACTCAATACAATTTTTTGTAGTTGAACATGGAATTTATTTCACTTATGAGACAAACATTGTTTTAATATATATTTTCATCGATGCTTTACAATTGTGTCCCCCTCTTTAAATAAATTCCATATCAAACTAAAAAAAAACAATGATTATCCTTTACTTATCCCACTTGCAGAGCTTCCCAAATGCACTCCAAAGCTATATGCAGCAACTACTGCTATACAAAGGGTTTACACCAATTGGCAACTACTTTGACAAATTTGTGCTAAAAGATTATGACCTTGATGAAAGACAATTGCAGGTACCCAAAATATGTACTTTTTTTTACCTGACCTTTAAATTGGATAAGCAACATGTTTTCTGTATTTAACAGGTTGACATAATTTACTTAGGGAATTTAATTTAATAGCTACACAATTTAAACTATATATACATCAGAATATATAAAAAATTGTATTTTACAATTAATAAATAAATTCTCTAGCTTAGTTTCTTTTATGTAAACTATACTACATATTACATAATAAATAACTTAAACCTCTTTTAAAAAATCATATCTACTAAGTCAAGTACAATTTTTTTCTTCCAGGCAAATAAATTTGTCTTTGTACATAGATCCAGCAAGTCTTTCCAGGGCTCTTCCTTCCACTGGTGTTTCACTTGTTCTTGCAATAATACCAGATCATCACTGGTGAATGCACTATCCTGGAGTGTTGACATTTCTCATGATGGTTAGTCTTTAATCCTAAAAAATCATTTTTAAAAAAAAGTGTATATATATATATATATATATATATATATATATATATATATATATATATATATATATATATATATATATAGATATGCAAATGTTTTCTTTCATATAACACTATTAAAAGCAATGCCTATCTATATCTGTATAAGCACTGGTTCCTCACATCAAAAATGTTTGACGTAATTTCTCATTGACGTCATAAAGGGTCGATGCGCAATCAATGGATCAAACATGTGCCGTTGAGTTTGAAAAATAAAGCCTTTCATGCGTTAAAGATTATAATCAGGCAAATGTAAAATATAAATAAGTCACAAATGTAAATACAAGTAATAAGGTATGATTTTAAAACATCTATACAGTATATAAATAAGGGTTGGTACGAGATCAAATTTGATCTTGTGACCAACCCATATTTATGTCCTGAAAGATGTTTAAAAATGATACCTAATTTCCTAAATATATACAGTCAAACATCGTTATTTTGAACACAATGGGACCAAGAACAAGAGGGCCATGGGCCACATCCCCTTTATGAGCACTTTAGCTAGGAAAAAGCAGAATTATAGTTCAATGTAAACCAATGCTCACTACTAATACCCCCACTCTGATGCAAATATACCCTCTAATGGCATTCCTAAATAAAAACTGGTAAAATTTCAAGCATCTATGATGAGCAGGACTCTAAATAATTAATGGCCTGCTAGTCTTGGGCAAATGAAATTACCAAAATGTCTTCTTCAAACAGCTAGAGGTATTGATGGTTTTCTCTGTAAAACTTATAAAGTTGTCTTTTAATCAGATAGGTGGTATTTTACATTTTATTTTTAATGAATCTATATTTTCATGTACTTTTGTTGATGCCTGGAAAAGAGCCAGAGTAGTGATCCATTGCACAAAGTGGGTGATGAACATCTAGTAAACAATAAGACATGTATCGATTTTGTCAGTTATTAGCAAAATTATTGAGTGTCATGTTTTTAATTCTTTTTTATGAATATTTAACAAAGAAGAAGTTAATAACTGAAAATCAATCAGGTTTTTGGCCAAGTCATTCATCTGAAACTGCACTAAACAGTCTTACAGATAAATGGTTTAAAAACATGGATGATGGGAAAATTACAGGACTTTTGTTTATTAACCTGCGTAATGCTTTTGATACAGTCAATCATAAAGTTCTTTTACACCAGCTTAAGTCGTTTGGAATTTGTCAAAATACTTTTAAATGGTTTCAATCTTATCTCTCAAATCATAAGCAATGTGTCAGTTGGTGAGGTGTGTTTTCTCAAGAAAAAGATACATCTTAAGGTGTCCCTCAAGGGTCAATTTTAGGACTGTTATTTTTTACTCTTTATATTAATGACTATTCAAAGTGTCTTAAACACTCTTCGGTTACAATGTATGTAGACGACAACTCAGAGGACATAAGAGATAAATGTATACATGTTCTAGAGAAAAAACTTCAAAAAGACCTCGACTTAGGTATTGAATAGTTGAACAAAAATAAACTCTGTATATATCTAAAAAAAAACGCAGTGTATGCTTATTGTCACATCTAAAAGGTTGCAGAAATTTAGAAATCTTAACATAAATTTTAGTGGTGTGCAGATTGAATTTGTGAAACAGGCAAAATTACTTGATGTGTATATTGATAATGCTGTATCTTGGAATGCTTAAATATTCCAGAAAATTTAACTCCTATCAGCTTTTTTATTTCCTTGTTTAAATTGGATGCCAATCAAGGATTATTTTATGTTTAGACAAGTCATTTTTCTATTTAAGGGTTTAAACAACCAAATGCCAGATTATCTTCATGTGTTTCAATATATACATAAGATGTCAGTTGTCGCCAAATCAGGTCCAATGGTTGTATGTCAAATCTATTATATTTACCACATACCACAAGTCAAAACAGAAAATTACAGATGTTCATATAGCTATTCATCTGCATTTATTTGGAACAAACTATCACAAAATGTTCAGAACTCTAGTTCAGTGGGTATTTTAAATCGGTGTATCTTACTGAGTATTCAATACTAGATTTCCATTCCAATTCATTGAGTGTCCAATTTATGAGTGTATTGTTACAAATACGTTTCTACATGTATATATCTGTCATGTGATTGTACTTTTACATCATGTTTTTTATTTAGATGCTAGTTTTATATGCCCATATATAATTGTAAAAATGTTTTGTAGCAGGACCACAATGAAAACTAGCTTTATGCTTAATTGTGCACCGTAATCCTGGATAAATAAAGTTTATTATTATTATTAATTATTATTTCTGCGCCCAGTTAATTTTAAATCTGGGTTAATTAGTACATTAAAGAGGACATGTGCCCTTCAGATCAGTGCTTTTTTTTTTTACCTACCCCGAAATACATGTGGGTTTCACATGTTGACAAACAGCCTACACACCATCCAGGAAGATGCCTCATGCACATCTAAAAAAAAGAGTTCCCTTTAATTCAGTGGCTCAATTCTGCTAAAGATATGATATTCTTAGTACATTTGTCCAAAATTAATACTGTAGGCCTAAAAATTTTTACCAAAAATGAAAAAAGAAAAAGAAACTGTCTCTATATACATGGAACTATAATTGACTAAGTTCATTTTGATTGGCTGTTTCCTTACGTAAGACCTTTATGACAACTAAAAGTTAATGAAATTAAATGAAATTTGCAGAAAATGTCTTTTAGTTATTTATCTTTCATATACTAGTGCACCAAATTTATCTTTGTCCTTAAGGGATGAAAAATAGGAGATAACTCTTCCTAACAGATTATTGAATTTTAGGCTTAATTTCTGTACAAATTCATCTACAGTATATTAATTTCAAACTTTAAAAAATCTAATGAGTGAATTATTCAGAAAAAAATGGAATAAAATACAAGCTGAAATGTTGGAGTTCTTGGCTATCTGCTTAAAAGTTTTTTCAGCTCTAATTAATAAGCTCTAATTAGCTAAGGAACAGAAAGTTTACTGATTTATAAGAAATTAATTATCAAAAAATTGAAAATCTTAATTCTAAAACGAAGTCAGAGACTGGAAAAAAAGGTGTCAAAAGAGACTTCAATAATGTACCTTGGAGCTTTGATAACAGTGATCACTGATTAATGGCTGGTGATTAAGATGGGTTCTTTAGCAGTAGGGGTGAGGAGGCTTTTCCATCAGTCATCAAAGAATGGAGTTTCTCTTAGAAGACCAGGCAGCTCTAAAATAAATAAACTTTTCCATCAGTCATCAAAGAATGCAGTTTCTCTCAGAAGACCAGGCAGCTCCAAATTAAATAAACAACACAAAAGTTTACAATACTTGAAAATGTGCACCACATACAATAGAATATTCTTGGAAAAAGTCTACAAGTGTACAATAAAATAATAATCATGCCAAAAAGGGACCAAAATGGTTGCATCAACATCAATACAAAAAAGGAAGTATTCCTCACAACAAAGGCCAGAAGAATACAGGGACCACCAGCCCAGTCCAATTTCTAGTTCCCATAAGAAGACTAAGTAAAGAAAAGTTTAGTGACATTGTACGGCCACAGAAAAATGGAATGTTTGCAGTTACAGATGCCAAGAGCCGAAGCAGTGAAAAGAAGATTTTGCGACCCAGGCCAAGTGAAATCCAGCCTGTAGACTCCTACATGGAAGCTGTGTCACATGACCTGAATTCAAAATTTTACAGAGTACTTCACCAAGAAAAGACTGCTAAATTGTGGAATCATGCATTTAAAGAACACTCACATAAGTTTCCAGACTGTGACGGTTCACTGGACTGGAATCAGCATGGGGAGGAAAAACGAGGCCTGGCATGGATCCTTTCCATCCGATGGAAGAAGTGCCACTATACCAGTCACTGAGAAAAGCTTTACTAAGAGGTGAGGAGATCTGTAAGGGGACGAAGAGCTGCACAGCTTAATGTGGCCATGGCTGTCGGTCACCTGTTGGTCACCAGTCTTACAATAGAAGGTATGCGTGGTATGCTTCTTGGTGCAAATATTGAACCAGCTTCAGCCGTCAACATGCAACAGACCTGCAACAAAGTGGGAAAAATTATCACCGAAGCAAATAAAAACAGTATGAAGAAAATAAGGCAGAATTTTCAAAAACTTAATGAAAAATGTGGACCTCCTGAGTCCTGATACTGCTATCAGAGCGGAAGGACATGCTCGGTATAATAATGCCACCTTCAGTGCCATTGGAAAAAACCTCATTTCAAGCTGCCACCCAAGTGACTTATACCGTAAGTGAAAATGTAACTCAGAGGAAAAATGTTGTGGCAGTTTTCTGTGGGAACAAACTATGCAAGAAAGGCACACACCTACGAAGCAAAGGAAAGGAAGTTACCTGCCCAGGACACGAAGACTGCAATGCAACCATTCCTCCGTAGACCACCATTGGAGATGAGAAGAGATGGGCTGCAAACTGTATCGGTGAGTTACAAAGTGATGACCGTCCACTCGTCATTTCCCATTTCATCAGTGATGGAGATAGTGCCGCTGTGTCTGGTGCATCTGAAAAACAAGGACATGTGATTGAAAACCTTAAAGACATGCATCATTTCTTTGACTCTCAAAGAAAACAGACTGCTAAGGCTCCATTCAGCAGTCACATGTTTCCAGGGAGAACCAAAGCCATAGGAGAATCCTTGCAGAGAAGATTTGCCTTGGACCTGAAGCTTTGATGCAGGACAGAGTACGAGAATTGCTTCAAACACTACTCCAGAGACTTACCTTTGATGAAGCGGGCTATGTCCACTGCTGTTCGTTCCATCATAAGCTGGTACCACTGACAGTGCGGAAAGTCCTATCAACTTTATTCCTTTTCCTGAAAAGCAATAAGTGGAACTCTTCAGTGTTGCCTAGTGACTTTGCATTAAACATGACAGAAAAAGACAAATGTTTGTTAAAAGACAGTATAAATTTGACTTTAGGACCAATTAATCTTGATAGAATTAAACATCATACTTGTACACAAAAATCTGAATCTGTGAATAGGGCATATTTAAAATCAAATCCAAAATGTATTACAAGTAGTAGAAATTTCCAGAGTAGAATACATAAACTTGTCCACTCACTGAATAGGGGTCATGGAACCTCACCATTGGAACTTTGTGATTCTGTAGGGGCACCTCTTGTAAAAGGAAGTAGAGTGGTCCATCATCTAAAACAACAACAAAATAGGCAAAATTACTTTAAAATGAAACAAAAACTATTAAAACATAAATCTCAAATAAAATACAATAGATCTAAAAGATATCAGCTGCAGGATAAAAAAATCTAAAGACACTTACTGTAAATCATTAACAGATCCAAAATTAAAAAGGAAGTTGTAAGATTCTGAAAGAGGGGGCATTGATGCTGTGTAATTAAAAAGTATGAAAGAGCTAGGTTCACTTTATGCATAAAATGGCCCTGTTCTTGTGTCAATTAATTGACTATCACCCTCTGCATTTCATATATCATAATAAAGTAGAGACTTAGCGCTCTCATTTCCTATAACAAATTTTCTTTTTGAGAATTCAGGTATTGGAAAACAGGCTTTGTGAAAATGCAATGTTGTTGAATTTAGCAGAAAACAAGCATATTTGACTACATTCAGCAAAGAATTAAAATATGAGCACAACCCTCGATTCAAAAATTAAACCATGTTTTATGATTTTAAGAAACAGACCTTTCATTATGTAATTGCATATTTTAGATCAGAAGTTGTGCTCTATATGGAATATTGAAATAATTCTCCAACTTTTGGCCATTTTTAAAGGAATTTACAGGATATAGTAAAAATGAAGCCATTCATGACGTCATAATGCATTGCCTATATAGAAAATCACGTGATGTTCAATAGATACACAGTCAAAAAAGGGTCCAAGTGATAAATACAGCATTGTCAACCAAAACTGAGCAGTTTCAATTTTTCAGAAACTCACAGGGCCAAAAAAAAACCCAAGTGGCCCTTGCTCTTTGTATTTAATACATATTTTGTGAATTGCCTTACATGTAATAATTGTTGCTATGTTTTATTATGCACTAATTCTATTCAACTGTGTAAATGGGGAAAATTTGGATATGTTATTGTATGTGTAAAATGTGACATTTTCTTATATGAGTGAGTCTGTGTATGTAAAAATGTTTTATTTTCTATCATTTATCTCATTAAAATTATTTTAATTAATTATCTTGCTTTTCTTACCTGTCTGATGAACACAACAAAGCTAAGGTTACAGAGGTATACGGGTGTCGAAACTCTCTGGTGATAACCAGACTGCATGCCGTATTGTATATCCCCCATTATTAATCTTTAAAAGGGGAGACTACTCCTGAAATCAAAGAAATTGTAGTCAAAATGAGAGTTACATGTTCCTCTTTAAGGTCTCACATAAGGAAATAATTTCACTATATGTTACTATATATCTTAAATTAAATCAATTGACTAGACTCTCAGATAATTCATGAAAGAGAAAATAAAGATTAATGCCGAGACAAAAATTTGAGATCAGAAAAAATACCCCTTATGTGGCTTTTAAGAAACAAAATTGAGAGTAGACATACCAACATCGAAATACATGTGGGTTTACATGTTGACAAACAGCCTACACACCATCCAGGAAGTTGCCTCATGCGCACCTAAAAAAAGAGTTTCCTTTAATTCAGTGGCTCAATTCTGCTAAAGATATGATATTCCTAGTACATGAGTCCAAAATTAATACTGTAGGCCTAAAAATGTTGCCTAAAATGAAAAAAGAAAAAGAAATTGTCTCTATATACATGGAACTTTAATTGACTAAGTTCATTTTGATTGGCTATTTCCTTGCACAAGGCCTTTAAAATGGTTGACTGTCCAAGTTCAGTTGTTTCTTGTTCTGCTAAGCAGTACTACCAGTATCACAATATGAACAAAATATTACTATTATTAATATGGTTTTGGGCCAGTCATTTTAAAATCTACTTGCCTAGTGGGACAGTAAAGGTGCTGAGCTGACCAATAAAAAATTAAGCCCATAGCCCAAGTGACTAGTGAAAAAAAAAGAAATTCTAGTCCAGATAGGTAGTTGCCCACAAAACTGAATGAAATTTGGTACAGACTGACACATGGATAAACAGGAAGTTAACATCAGATTTCTACAGAAATGAATCCCACCATATGGCATGCCTAAATAAAGACTATGCTAAAATTTCATGCATTCGCATTGAGAAGTTGTTGACAAAACTGAGATGGAAATTTTGCAGGGACAGATGCACGGAGTAACAGGACGTTGACGCAAGATTCATTCGAGCTCGGTATATATTGTACTCCTCAGGTGTCTATATCATCGTATTGACCTCAAAAACCAGCAATAATTGTATATTCTTTGTCAGATTCTATCGCAGTCTTATAATGTGTGTGGATGCTTTTTTCTGCATAAACTATCATGCTAGTTGTAAGTAAACAGCTAACTACACTTAGATTTATTTACATCTTTGAAGCTACAAAGCAGGTGACACATGCATTCCTTGGAACACTCTATTTTTTTCATATGCAAAACAATGTTCCTGTTTCATTTTTCATATGCAAAACAATATGTGTGTTAAAATTCTCAACTTATCTACATTTCTTAGCTTTTTTACAACGCTATCCAAGGTGCATACATATTGATGCAGTATCATTTCTGATGGAAAGATATGATTCAAGAGAGGATCTGCAACCTGAAGGTATTAAAATGGAAAAAAATTTATAAATAATCGTCAAAGAAAAAATGCATTTGTAAGTTTTACTTCTCATACCTATTAAAACAAGAGGCCCATGGGTCTTATTCGTCACCCATGTATCATGTAACAACTTTCCAACAATGAATTTGGTTTGTGTTTTAAACCAGAAGCCATGAAATTCACAATTTTGAAAGAGGCACCATTGTTCATCATAACTATACACTTAGCATGCTTAGTTTGATTACTTATTACCCAGAGCGGTGAGATTAAGGTAAAAAATGTTGATGCAGTTGAATAGCTTACATCAGTATGTATCAGCATATGAAGTTTGATTACACTTTCTTGAATGGTTCATTTAAAACTGAGCTAAACACTAATTTTATGAAAGCGAGGTCAAGGTCAAAGGAAAGGTCCAGCCCACGCAAGTGAATTAAGGCTAGGTATAGGCATTTTTATGCAAATAAACTAATTAAAATGCCTAAGGACTATATCTATTGCACAGAGAACGTTAAAGCTTATTGTCTAATACATACTTGGTACCCATGACATGAGACAGCCAGTACATATTATGACGTCATTGTTCTTTTCTACACAAGATTATAAAAGACATTAACAAAAAATGCTTTGGCGCAAGGGTATGCTCTATTTCATTTAACTAAAACAAGGTATATTTAGAATCAAAATACTCCCAAGGATTGCTGGCATTGTTGCACAGATATCAACAACTCAGTTGTTTAATGAAAGAAAAAGTGAGCAAGCTCACATACCCCACGCTCCCCCAAAACTTGACAATGCAACACGTACTGAATGGCACAGTGCATTTTAAATACACAGTATAATTCAAAAAGGGGCATTACTTGCAAAAAATCATCACATCAAAAATTCTTGCATATAAGGACATTCAAATCATTGTATGTATACAAATCTATACATTATGTCTGAAATACCTACAAAGTTTCAGGAAATTCAGTGCAGGAGTTATGCTGATAAACTGTTATTTAAATTCCTCCTTGATTTCGATTTGTTAATGAGTGTAAGTCCATGTCTAACACATGACAACTTACACATTTAGATAATTGATGGAAACAAAATTATGATGTAGTCATATGAATTTGTTCATATACTGTACTTATGAAATTATTTAAGGCAAAGCACCAATTTGAAGGGGGGGGGGGGGGGGAAGAACTATCCAAGATTCAAGATTTTGTGTGTGTGTTAAATCATTAATATTTTGATCTCAAAATCAATAGGGGTCTTTTAAGGTCATAAAATATTTCACATAAAATGTCATTACAAAGGCTTATTCCAGTGGATTTCCTTATTACCTAGCTGGAAAGTTTCTTCAATAATAGGCAAAACTCTTGGGGCAAAAATAATGGAATCGGAATTTCCTGGTAATATGCACATCTACACACTGTGTCCTAAATATCTGCAAAGTTTGATGAAATTCTGTGTGGTGGTTTAAGAGGAGTTGCGCTGACAAACTGTTCATATCTATATTCAAGATATGGCCAAAAATCAAGTTGAAAAGTGCCGAAATTCCCAGAAAAAATAAAGGAATCGGAATTTCCTGGTAATATGCACATCTGCAAAGTTTGACAAAATTCTGTGCAGCGGTTTAAGAGGAGTTGCGCTGACAAACTGTTCATCTCTATATTCAAGATATGGCCAAAAATGTAAGTTGAAAAGTGCCGAAATTCCCAGAAAAAATAAAGGAATCGGAATTTCCTGGTAATATGCATATCTACACATTGTGTCCTAAATATCTGCAAAGTTTGACGAAATTCTGTGCAGCGGTTTAGGAGGAGTTGCGCTGACAAAAAAACAGGACTGACGGGTCAAAAACATTATACCCCCCGCAACTAGTTGCGTGGGGTATAATTACTACTTGTAAAGTTTTAAGTTGGATCTGGGTTAAAATGTACAGTCCGTTATAAGTTTCCTCAGATTCCGATCAAATGAGAAAATGCCTAGGATTTGTGCAGCAGTTTAATTAATAACTAATCTATAGAAAATTCTTCTTAGCATTATACATTTTTATGCAAAATTAAATAGGGTAATCCCTTGCACCGAAGCTGTTGATGTGTTTTATTACCTCCAGTATGCAAGAACAATGACGTCATAATATGACTTCATAATGTGTACTGACTAAACATATCTTGGGTACTAAGTATGTACAGTGCAGTCTCGTTATTAAGGTGACGGTTTTATAAGACAGAACCATTATTACATTGTAAATTCAAAGCACAAAACCATTTCTTAAATCTATACAAAATAGAACCGTTTATTATGATGTCCTAAAATGCAGGGACTCGGTATTACTATGTAAAAATTCTGTCCACAATTTTTTTCACTCCGTGTTTATTCACTGCTGATCAATGGTAGACACTTAAGGAGATGCTAAATAAACATTGAAACACCTGTGCTCTGACAGTGTTAACCTACAGACCCGCTAGGTGATTAGTGACGCTCGACTGCACACACCTGACTGCTATAGCGAGGTCAGCAGAACTGGAGACATTGTGTCAAAGCCATTGTTGAACAATTAAACCGTTTATTTATAAATGTAGTCTCTAGTTTATCTATCTCTGTAAAGTTTATTTTATCTTTATACTTTGGTTAATAAATAAAATTAATTTACTCTATAAAAGGTTACATTTAATCTTGTTCATGTATGTTCAAGATGTATTGTGTAATTTTGTTTGCAATTAAACTGCGGTAATGTACAGCTTGGGTATTAAACATAATTTGGGCCAAATTTGAACTTCACTTACGTTTTAACAGCTTGGATTGTGGCTTGGACTACCTCACAGGTGTCAGGAGAAATTCAAATCGATAATTGCTGAACCCCTAATTGAACTCTGTTCAGTAATTTAAACAATAAAATTTATTTTGACATATAGCTTGTGTATTGTCAAATTCCGTCCATAAATACGTCAGTCACACTGCCCCCTTTCATCAGTTGTTCACTGCTGCTCTAAGCTCATTGAACACCCAAAAGCTCACTAAAAATTGTTGTTGTTATGTAGTAACGACTATAAATTGATTACGAAGATGGCTTATTGAAATTTTTACGAATGAATTATCTAGAGAGTCAGAAACAGAAGTAAAAGGAAATGGTGGTAGATAAATGAAGATCACCAAAGTTTTTATAAGAAATATGCACATTTCTTTTAAAATGAAGGAAAAAGAAGAAATATCATCTTGAAGACATCTATTCAAGATAAGTTGTTAATAAATCATATACGTGTTTGCTTTTTAGTTAAGAATTGGAACAGAAGAAGGGAACAAAAGGGCAAAAATACACCTCCCACAAAAATAACAAGCTTTCAAAACGATGTTTTAATGGATTTTATTGGGAACCTTTATTACGTTGCCCTCAGTATTATGATATTTTCCCATGACAAAATGAACATCGTAATAATGAGACCGTACTGTATAAGAAAAATAATTCAAAACTTTCTCTGAATTATAGGTATACTTCTTATGTGTTTTTATAAACTCATTTGCATAGAAACGCCCATACCTAGCCTTAACTCACTTCGTGCAGGTGAGCTAAAAATACAAAAAGTGCCCTCACAGTCACCAGAGTACACGAGTTTCTTTGTCTATGTCTAATTTAGCCCCATCCTGTTCAAAATTATATGTAAAATTTTTCTGATATGTTACATCTCTCTATAATCTTCAGATCAAAAGGACATGAAGGACTTGATGACATACTAAATAAACTCAATCTTTTGTCAGAATTTTCTTATTAAAGAAATCAAATCATAATTGTTGACAACTTTTAATTAATTGTTTAGTCTTTACTTTCCAGATCACAGTTATTCTCTTCATTGCTATCAATCTCAGGTATGTGAATAGAAGACTTGTTTAGTACATACATGGATATACCAAATTCACCAGTTGCCCTTCTGGTGCAGTGGTTAGAGCGTCTCTCTAGAGTCGCCCAGTAAGGGGCTGATCTTAAGGTTGCAGGTTCGAATCCACTGCCCAATGTGGAGACCGGTTCTTGGGATGAGACCGTTTAAAGCAGGGTTTGACACTACGGCACATCTGACCGACCAGTCTAGCAAATGAGTGGTGTAAAATGTACAAGAACTTAGACCCTTTGATTGTGCTGATTAAATAACTGTTAAACTTCCCTCAGTCTTTAAAATAAATAATCTAAAAACTTCCATGGCCATGTGAGGAAGAAAAATTCCCACAACACAATCGCTGTAATTGACAAGTCGCAGTTGATCCATATGGTAAAAATAGTTATGCATAGTATAGTTATAAAGATTTACAATAATTTTAATACTTTAATGTCCCGATGAACCAAACTCAATTGGCTGGGACCTCATCTAACAGTCTGTCAAAAATATTGATACATGAAAAACCAGACTTTGATCCCGATCGAATGTGAACTCAATTAATAGCTATCCCTATCGGGATCGAAGTCTGGTTTTTATGTACAGCTTCCATCTTGAAACTACTGATTAACTTTCAACAGTCGTTTTTTTTTAATTATTTAGAGACTCCTTTATATCAAAATGCACTTGTCCAATCGGACAAGTGCCCAGCAATATTCACTTGTCCGTAATTTTTTTTCACTGGTACCAGACAAACGGACAAGCGTTAATGTCGAGCCCTGAAAATTCTTGATTATAAGAAGTAAACTTGCATGTTTGGTCAGGGTTATTAATTTTTTTATCATGGCTGGTATAAATTATTGAAAGTAACTCAATTGGTCTTCTACTTGTAAAAGTTTATATCAAACCCTGTAAAGCGAGGTCCTGTGTTGCAGTAGATGTTAGCATGAAAAAGATCCCTCACTGCCCAATGGCCTGAGTGCAGCCCTCCACTGGCAAATGGTGGTGTCTCCATAAGAGTAAAAAATTCTCAAGAGGGACACAATTAACAAACAAAAAAAAACAAAAAACAAATTCAATGCTTAATCAAAGTTTTTTCAGGATCTCTGTCAAAATTCTTAACAATTCTTTGTAAAATTTTACAGTCAGAATGAACTCGTATAATGATGAATTTACAGATATCAGCATGAGATTCTCTGCATCCTAGAGGTTAAAAATAAAATAAACAGTGGCCCTTTTCACAAAAAATCTTAAGGACTAAGATAAAAATTTCCCCATTCCTCAACAAGTATCTAAGCTGTAGTAAGAAAACAAGATGTGTTTTGTGAAACACTGATGCCCCACGTATGGCAACTTATAGCAAAAGTTAAACTTTCTCAAATGCAAATCAAATATGTTGGTACCTAAAATAAGGTCTTGTCTCGGGGAATATACTTTTGAAATATAAAAGCCCTAGCAGCAACCATTGAATAGATATGGAAAAGGTTAAAGTTTTTAAAAAGTAAGTCAAACATCAAGGTCATGGTCAAAATGAATGATGCCAACGGACTACAAATACAATTAATCAAGAAATCGCCATTCTTGAAAATAAGAATTTTAAAGATTTTTTCCAATGTATATTTTTGTAAAATTTTGATCTGCCCCATAGTGATCCCATTGTACCACAGAGGGTCATGATTTGGACTCCACTTAAGGACATTTCCATATAATTATGACTAAACATGACTTTGCTCCTGAAAAGAAGAATTTTAAAGATTTTTTCCTATTTATAGCCATCTTTAACTTTGATCACCAATAGTGGCCCCACCATACCCATGGGGGTCAGTATTTGAACATACCTGAATCTACATTACCTATGAATGCTTCCATATAAATATGACTTTTTATGATTTGATGTTCCCGGAAATTTTTTTTTTTTTTAAAAGATTTTTCCCATTTATACCCATGTAAAACATTTATGCCCATAGTGCCCCCACCCTACTAGAAAACTAGTAGAAAACTTGTTTTTATTACCATATGTCTTTGTTTCATCAGAAGGACAGCTCTCCAGTTCAGGAATTGTCATGGGATGGAGAATACCTGTGTGTCACCCATGAAGGATCCAGTGGAATAATTTGTTACAAAGAGGTATTATCTTGCATCACCTGCAAATCTTCAAGATGTGGACATATCAATTTACTGTCTGAAGTTGCAGAGAAATACAATATAGATTTGCCAGAGAATGCTTTAAAAATAATGAACCCCAAAAAACTGACCACTTCTCCCTGGGTTAAAGTTGTGTCCTGGAGGGGCATTCCATTCCGTTTGGGTGACAATCTTCAAGCTGTATATGCAAAGCCAGCATCTGAGAGAATTCCTGGTGGTGTTCTTGTTGAATCAAAGTCCAACAGCACCTGTAAAATCTGTGGAAGCATGTGGTCCAACAATGTTTCCAACATCAAGTCCTTGCCACTAATTGATAAAAAAATAACTACAATGGTTGAAGGTAAACACATCCAAAACCTATATAGCTCGGTTTGGGTAATTGAAAGAAGTAATTGTAATTTACTGTATCTAAATACATTTTTTCAAATTAATTGAAAGTATTTGTAATTGAGTTTTTTTTTCAATTACAAGTAATTGAATTATCTAAACCAATTCCAACAAGAGGCCCAAGGGCCTTAACAGTCACCTGAGTATAAAACAACAATCCATAGACCTATCTAAGGCTCAAGTTTACGAAAAATGCCCAAAAATCAGTAAAATTTACGTCAACTTTAAAGCAAATTTTTCGTGCCATTTTTGAATTTTTTAAAATTATTTTACCGAGAAAAAAATAATAAACAATAAAGAATTAAATAAATATTTATTCCATTGATTTCTTACAAAATAAGTTCCATTAAATATCCGTCTATTTACAAAAAAAACTTATTATATCATCTAGTAAAATAATGTCTCAAAATATATTTACAACATGCTGTGTCCATCTTGTCGAGTTGGAAGTCGCAATCGTCTACTAAAAATAAAACTGCAACTGTATCAAAGTTTAAAATACGGAATAGTTTTCACAATCACAATTGTAATACATATATTTTTTTTTTACCATTTATTTGTAACAATTAATTGAAATAGTATGTATCTAAATATTTTTTCATTGTCTTGTGATATTTATTTAAGTGTAAAATGTGTGAAATAAATTTTTGCCAATAAATTCCTAAATTTATTTACCAAATATACAGCTAGTCATAACTATTTTGTTTTATATCCTAAGTGGTACACTGAATTATACAAAGACTGGCTTCTAATAGAATTTTAATTGTCCGACAGATAAAGGTATATACATTGTGTACACAAAGGTGTTAACACCGGTGTTGGTGGCACGATTAACAGATCCATGTGCCGTTACAGGGGTATTAGTGCTATACATCATTGAACAGACAAAACTGTAAAATTCTTGATGAATGTTAAATTGCAAATTTACTCTCAATTAAATTTATTTCTTACATCAATATCTCAAGCAAAATTATAGCATATTAATATGATTAATTTTAACTGCCTACTGTTACATGTAATAGTCATTTGCATGTTTTAGCAAATTTCTGGACAAGAAATATAAAAATGGCAGTCATCAAAGTTAATATTGTACCCCGGTAAATAATGTCAGAATAAAGGAATGTGTCTACGATGTTCTAAAATGGATATGATTATTGTTTGACTTTGGGTATTTCCTTAATTATAGCTGTTGTATACAACCGTATTTATGTGTTTAACGACAGAGTCAAACTACGACGGCATTGAATAGGCAAGTAGGAGAAAATATGTAATATCACAATTCAAGGAAGTTTTAACTATGTTTGTATATATCACTATTAAAATGCTGTATTCATAAAAATACCAGTTTATTTTCTCAATACTTTAATATCATGGGTTACGTTAATGAGGTTTACATGTTCTGATATGTAGTATCTACATACTAAGAATCTCTAGAAAATCGATAAACAAAGCCTCGTCCTATCTTCCAAATTCATCCTATCTAAGGATTTTTTTTTTTAAATTATGGCTGAAAATGAGCCTTTTGACCTATATACCCAATCGACATATACCCCAAAAATTAAGGTAGTCTAGTATTCAGTAACAACTCATAAATTAAGAGATAACAAGAAGTCTGTGAGCCACTGCTCACTAATATACCCTCGCTCTGATGTGAATACACAAGTTCAGTTATGGACAGACACAGTGACTTAATTGGCTATTTAACTAAACAATTTCAAAACAAAATTGCTTTTCAGTTGGTGAGAGAAAATGCTGTAACATATCCTGTAGCACCATATTAAAATATGACGGACAGGAACACTGCATTTTCCATACCAGTCATACACTGATTGCATATGAAGTACTGTTTGAATTTATGGACTTGTTTACGAGGAACAGGTAAATATTGGAAACAGATTGAGGTAAATATTCAGTATTGAGTTACTTAAGACCCACTGGCCACAACACTCACCTCATTAATATTAAAATGCGATCAGAAAAAGCTTACTCGAGTTTTCAGCTCAGGTGAGTTAATAAAGACTTAATGTAAGCGAACTTTAGGCTATTATATACAATACCTAAGTTAACATTTTTTCCATCTTTTTAGAACAACTCTTTACACTTACTTCATGTCCCTGAAGGACAACCATAAAAGGTCGGGCGACTCGAAATTTCATCACCTCTTTTCATATGCACATTTCAAGTTTGCATGGTATGGTTTCCTCCAGAAAGTGTGCTCTACAATTGCTTTTGAAGAGGGTTTTACATGCCTCCAATGTGGGTCATCGCCAGATCATATTATTATGGATGCCACCACGTTGGCCCACAGGAAAGATTTCAAGCTCTGGAGTGAAAATCTCAAACAACTAACATCTGAAAAAATTTTGGATATTCCTTACAGGTTTGTTATATTAAGTAAAACAGTTTCAAGCAATGCATTGGAGAAATTTTCATCTTACTTTAACTAATTGAATTACAAACATGTTTTTGTTACAAGAGGTTGGTGGACAGAAAGACAGACCGACCAACAGACAGAAGCAAAGCAATATGCCCTTCCTTCTTCGAAGTGGGGGGAGGGGGGGGGGCATAAAAATTGTTTACAGACAGATGGACAACAGACACCTTACTATCGCATAAGCTCTTCTTTTATCTGCAGTTGAATAGCTCTTATCAATATGTATCAGCACATAAAGTTTGATAAAAATATCTTGGACAGTTTCTTTGAAACTGAGCTTTGAACTGAGCTAAAGGCAAAGTGCGATGGAAGGACAGAGGGAAAGACAGAAAACAGACATGACAAACTCTATATGCCCCGGCCATGTTCATGGCTGGGCATAAATAATAATACTAAACTCATTCCCATTTTTACTGGTTTTCAAAGCTTTTAACGGATAAATTTCTTATTTAATTCATAATAGTTACCACAGGGACAGGCTTCTCATCACTGATCCCTATACCAGACTTTTACTGAAAAGATATGCTGGAGATCAACCTCCTCTTACTGATCAGGAATTTACCAAAATGACAGAGCTGATTGGTTTTCACAACTCGCAGCTGCAGTCCTTGATCAGATCCTTTGGTTTATCAACCGCAGCACCTCATCCTTATAGAGACCTGTTAAGGAATCTAGCTTTGGACAGCCCAATTTGTGGAATGTTCCATCCAGGCATGGCTCTTCGACGTACTTTGGAGGATATGCAAAGGAGGGATCCAAGATCATCTCCAGATATTCTTGAAGAGCTGCAGGTTCAATTGCCTATGGTAAACATTTTGCAATAATCAATAATCATGAGAAAAAAATCCCATAATCTGATATACTCACATTGCTTTTATCAATTATTCCTCATCTCTCAAGTATCATACTATTTCAGGGAAAACTTTGGTCCCTTAGATAATAATTATGGCATTTAATTTTGGTTCCAATTTGACAAGCTTTTTTAATCAATAAACCAAAATGAAACTAGGTTAAGACTTAAAACAACAAAAGTGACAAAAGAGACCTAAAACTAAACATTAAGTGCACAGTCATACTTTTGATATGTAAAACTTATTTGAGCCTTTGGATCAAGTGGCCTAAATCTAGCAGGGGGTTGTATACATAAACATACCTTTTTCAGGGTTCACTTGTCACTTATTTTAGATTCAGTAAGCAATGGAACAAACATGCACATAACCCTGAAATAATAAAACATCATATCACAATAAATCAATCATATCAATGCATCATTTACAAATAGCTCTCATAGATAACATATCCATAGTAATATATTCTAAACAAGATGTATTATATGTACATTTACCCATGAGGGAAATAACTCTTGCAACTAATAGCAACAAGAAGTCTGTCAGCCATTGATCACTAGTAATAAGCCTGTTCTGATGTCAATATATGCTCCCATGTGAAGGCAGACACAGGCATAAAAAGAAGTTGACACCATATTCGTACAAAAATAAATCCCACCATATGGTATGCAAAAAAAAAAGTGTGCTAAAATTTCTAGTATCTGTGATGAGTAGCTGCTGAGAAAACTATGATGGAAAATTGGAATGGACAGATGCTTGAATAAACAGGAAGTTGACATCGAATGTCAAGGTCAAAAGGAAGGTCAAGGTGAAAAAATGTTGATGCAGTTGAAAAGCTTTTACCAATATTTATCAGCATATGAAGTTTGCTTACACTTTCTTGAATGGTTTCTTTAAAACTGAGCTAAACACTAATTTAAGAAAAGTGAGGTCAAAGTCAAGGTCAAAAATGTTGATGCAGTTGAATAGCCTATATCAGTATGTATCAGCATATGAAGTTTGCTTACACTTTCTTGAATGGTTTCTTTAAAACTGAGCTAAACACTAATTTAAGAAAAGTGAGGTCAAAGTCAAGGTCAAAAATGTTGATGCAGTTGAATAGCCTACATCAGTATGTATCAGCATATGAAGTTTGCTTACACTATCTTGAATGGTTTCTTTACTTTACAAACATAATTAACAATATTACACAAAGAAGTTTTTTTCCCTGCCTTGGTGGTGTACTTTATTAACTAATTGTTCTGCTTTTTTTTTTTTTTTTTTTACATTTTAAATTCCTATTCAATAGTGTCTTGCAAATATATTTTCTACATATATTACAGATTTTTAAATTGGTGTCATCCCTGGAGGAAATACCGAAGCTACTGACAGATTTGCTACAGTCTTTACTAGACCTGGCAGAATCCAGTTACCCTCCAAGTTCACAACTACTAGATTCCTGCTCTCCAGACACAAGCCAATTTAGAGACAGCTTTTTCCCGGCACTTTCCCCAATCAGATCCAGGGGAATATATGACATGGACATGAAACATGGCAAAAAGGAACAACAGGAATGTACAAAGAGGTCAAAAGGCCATCCCAGTCTGCTGCCCGGTGTTTTTTGTCTTTTTTGTGAGCATGGTAAGATCCTAGCAAAAACAAAGCAACATATAATATTTCTACTTTTCAAATTAATAATAAATAAAACTAGAAGTATGTCCATAGGACATGAATGCTCGGCCGAGGGTATATTAGTAATGCAACATTTTAACACAAATTGAGAAAAGTGAGGTCGAGGTCAAGGTCAAAGGAAAGGTCAAGGTAAAAAAATATCGATGCAATTGAACAGCTTGCATCAGTATGTATCAGCATATGAAGTTTGACACTAATTTAAGAAAAGTAAGGTCAAGGTCAAAGGAAAGGTCAAGTCAAAAATTGTTGCTGCAGTTGAAAAGGTTACATCAGTATGTATTAGCATATGAAGAAACATCAAGGTCAAAAAATGTTGATGCAGTTGAATAGCTTACATCAGTATGTATCAACATATGAACTTTGATTACACTATCTTGACTGGTATCTTTAAAACTGAGCTAAACACTAATTTAAGAAAAGTGAGGTCAAGGTCAAAGGAAAGGTCAAGGTCAAAAAATGTTGATGCAGTTGCATAGCTCTCATCAATATCTATCAGCATATGACATTTGATAAAAATATCTTGGATAGTTTCTTTGAAACTGAGCTTTGAACTGAGCTAAACGCAAAGTGTAACGGAAGGACAGACGGAAGGACAGAATGACGGAAGACGGACATGACAAACACAATATGCCCCAGCCATATTCATGGCGGGGCATAAAAAAGCAGAAAATCAAAATATGGCATTCTAGCTGGTGCTAAGAACCCTAATAAATTGGTCATTCACAATGGTAAATTATTCAAAAATTTAATACTAGACAAATAGGAATTGTCCTAATATGTGTAAAAGACGACTGGGCAAATTTTGATAGGGAAATAACTTTTTTATATATTATTGTTAACTTTATCAAAATATTTCTCCATTATAATTTATAATATTGAAATTGAATAAAATAATTTTGTTTAGCTTTTCTGTCTCATTCTAATACTGTTGTATTTATGTGCAACATAAAGTAATTTATACCATCTCTGTTATTCTACTGTTATTAGAGAATTTTTCCGGAATTTTGAGTGCCACAATTAATTATTGTTACTATAGATTTGTAACTTGATCTTGTTTATCTCCAGACCATGCATTCTGGTGGAAACAAATTTTTTGATATGGATTTGTTTATGTATCTGAATTGATTTACATCCTCCCACCGTTTCTTGGACTTGTAATGTTGTCCACTGTTCAATATTTTGTGGATATTGTTTACAAACATTGTGTAAGTATATATCCATACAAAAACATGTTGTGATCGTGAACTAACGTTATGCCATGTCTTGTGGCTATGTGACTTTTCAGTTCATACCGTGATGATGATAGAATGGCACTTTAGAAAAACCTGATTTGGTGATATTCTTCTGGATGAAAAACTTTGATTCAGTTAGTTTAGACGATCATCGTTTTACTTAGTGCAGGTATGGTGGGCAGCACTGGCTAAAAGTTCGCGCAAGGCACAAGTTACGTAACAGACTTTCCAAATGTGGATTTCTTATCAGCCATGCAGTATCAAATGATTTGTGTTAGAGAAACAGTGGACGAGATTTATCATGAGCTGATCGAATTTGTTATTAACCTACATTTAAAAATAACAGTGGAAAAGCTACATCAACACAACGAACAATTTAAACAGGATCTTGCACCCCTATATGGTCGGTGTTTAATTTTAGCAGGATCCTGCACCCCTATATGGTCGGTGATTAATTTTAGCAGGATCATGTACTCCTATATGGTCGGAGTTTAATTTTATCATGATCCTGTACTGCTATATGGTAGGAGTTTAATTTTAGCAGGATCCTAATCTTAATTTAATTTTTAATTTTAGTACATGTAGGATCCTGTTCTCCTATAAGTTTAATTTTAGCATGATCCTGCACCCCTTTATGGTTGGGGTTTAATTGTAGCAGGATTATATACCTCTTCATGGAAGGGGTTCAATTTTAGCAGGATCCTTTATGTCCTAGATGGCGAAGTTTAATTTTGCAGGATACTGCACCCATATATGGTTGGAGTTTTATTTTAGCAGGATCTTGCCCCCAATATAGTTGGGATTATGGTTAATTGTTGTTATTCATAGACTGAGGAATAATAAATTATGCAGTATATATATGTTTTAATTGGAATGGATGTGCAAGATGTTGCACCCATACTCAGGTTAAAAATTAAATTACTAGTAATAAGAAATTTCAATTTTTGTGCCCTTGCATGGTTTGAGTGTGTCTCCTAGCCTGATTACTGGTTTATTATTGTTCCCCTATATGATTGGGGTTTAATTTTTAGCTAGTATTACTACTTTATTGTTGTGCCCATACAAGTTCAGAATGTTTTTGGTCTAGAGTATGAAAATTAATTACATTTAACATTTTTTCCCAGGAATTTGTTATGGGTATGAGCTGATGGATTCTCATGAATCTCCAAACGTTCCTTTTACCCTACTGCTGACAAGATTCAAAAAAGGTTATTTTTCTGTATTTTTCAAAATATAGTTTGAACAAATTCATTCAGATAATTGTTTTTCTCTGCAAGTCTAGGCTCTCGACATTTAAATGGCAATGTTGTTAGTAAGTTATATGCCTCATACAATTCTATATGTAAAATTATCAGACTGTTTTCTGCCCTAATGGGCCTCAGTCTTCTAATTTTACATAAAAAACAGTATGAAGCATAATCCATTACATATATATATATGTCATTTTTGATAACATAAACCTTTTTTTTCATTACAGCTCCATCTATTGTAATTTATGACAATGCTTGTAAATTACATACCTACTGCCTGAACAGGTATCCAGATTTCTTCAAGGACTCCTGGTTCTTAGTTGATAGGCTTCATTGGTTCAACCACAGAGGATGCAACAGTGGATATAATCTAAATGATTATCCTCAATTTAAAAGCTTGAACAGTCAAGCTGCTGAGCAGGGCAATAGCTCCCTCGGCAAATTGAAATCTATGTTGTCATACATGACAAATGAAAACTTCCATCTTCATTGCAAGTTCTACCTCTGGGTTCTAAATTATAGAAAGCAGAAATTAGATTAGAAAAATGGCTTTTTCAAGACAACTTTTTCTTCAAAATGATATACTGTTATGTCTCCCCCTTTATTTTCTTTTTCTCATATGAACACTTTGGCTACAGAAAAACAGAAATCAGTTCATTATTGAAGTTTTAAAATTAGGTGGTCTGAACCTTACCCCTTGAGGTTGTGCTTTGATAACAGTATAGGGTATGATGCAATAACTGTTATGCTTATTACAATGTACTGGTATTTTGCTATGTATTCAGCTTTTATTTGATCAAAAAATATTTATTACTAGGAATACATAATTATTCAATGTCAGATAGTCTACATTGTGAAAAAAGTACACTTGTTTATGCATGTTTGGGTCTTCAAACATTCACAGGTCATTTATATTCCAACATCAACAAGAGGCCCATGAACCACAACACTCACCTGAGTAACTATGGCCATTCCCAGGCATTTTACCACCACATTTATGTTTTTTCACCTTGAAAAATGCATTTGTTAAATGGAATATTATTCAACTATGTTAGATTAATATTTACACTTTGTTTAGCACCACTATTTTTATAACTATATATCAAGAGATTGTATTGAAATAATTTTACTGTGTTTTTGTGTACAGGGTTGGCACATATTACATTGTGTCTCATTAAATAATTTTTTTGCAAACACTTCATAGATTTTAACAATTTTTAAAATATACATAATACTAACATTACTGCTTTCCTCAAATGAAGACCATTACCAGGGGCTGATGTAATGCAAATTCTATTTAAACCAGCAGCACTTTCTAAAAAAAAAATACAATATATGTAGAAACAATTTATCAATACATATTATGTGCATTAATAACGTTTGTTTGTTTGTTGTTTAGCGTCCCTCTCGAGAAATTATCACTCATATGGAGACGCTAACGTGTCAGACTGTAAATTAGGTGACCAAAGTAAATTCAGCATAGAAATTAAGAGATGTAAATGTCCAAATAATATTAGTCATATGCAATTAATGAATTTCATTTAAATTTTAGTGTGTTTTATATCATAGTGGTTAAAAGTAAAGTGTCATTACCATTAACCATGTAATAAAATATAATAATATAATACATTGTTGTTATCAAAGTGCAAAGACATACAGGCCTGTAGGAAGCAAATTCAGTGGGGGGGGGGGGGGGGCACAGCCATATATTTTCAGTTGACAGTTGAGGGGGCACTGCCAAAAATTTCCTGACAAGCAAAATTAAAAAAAAAGGTCATCAGACATTTTTATTGAGGGTGCACAAGCATATACTCTATATGTTTACTATAGTAATTTATTTATCGGCAAATTTATTGGGGGGGGGGGCATCCCCCCCCCCCCCCCCCGGTTCCTATGGCCATGACATAATTTTATGCTTCACCATAATTTAAGGACCCCAATGGAAATAAGCTTTTTAAAAAAGCTTTTATGGGCTATCTTTAGGTAATACCTATCATCTGTATGTCATGTAATTTAATATATGATAATACATGTATATGCTCAATTAGATCTTTATTAAGTAGCATAGTGCTGAGATAATGTCTGGGTTTTTTTCTATTAGTAGGCTAATCTGTAATGTTTTAAATGTGTGTAATCATGACATTCTGTGATATTTGAATAATGTCCATTTCTTACGGCAACATTATCTTTTTGATAAAATAATGAAAGTTTATGGTTTATTTGGCTGGCTAAGTAAAGGAGTCTGTCACTGTTACGATCATCAGTTTGTGCATCAAAAGTAGCTTAATAATCTTTTTTCTTCTACGTAAGAGTGAAAATTTTTTTTGCATTGTTTAATGAATTGTTTAATTTTATTTTTTAAAGATTATTTGTATTGCTAAGCATCAGAAATGTAATTTAATCATGTCACGTTTTATCATACGTCTGTCATGTTACGTTATATGTCTGTCATGTGTTACGTGACACATACCGTATAACGGGTATTTTCTGCGGTTGGAAATTTTTGCGATTTAACCCCTATAAGGAAGCAAATTAATTTCTGCGGTTGGATTATACCGCAAAAATTTATTTACGGGGTATGATCACCAAACTCTAAGAATTATCAAAACTTCATGTTCATGTTTTATAAATTCATTATAAGACATGTAAAATCTTCGAATTTCAATGACACACGAATTTTCTCGCTAACGAGGACGCATCCACTCATGAATGCGGTTTCATCGGTTTTAAGAACCTTCAGTCCCAAATAATTTTGCTGCGTCCAGTACGCAGGTATTTCAAACATTAATAAAATATTTATTTTTGACTTGATTATCTATTCAAACATTTTTTTGTCCTATTTAGAGTCAAAACTTCAAATACACATAAAGAAATCTAAGAAAAAAACGTGTCTACAGAATTCTTTATTTGTCCTCCCAGATGTACTCAAGAGCAAATTTAGAGCCTAAAAAGATGATCAGGAACATTTTCAACAGATAAACTAACAAGAGGCCCAAGGGCCACATCGCTCACCTGAGCACTGTGGCTAGGAAAAAAGGAAAAATCAGTTTAGTATTGAAAAGCTTAAATGATAAGTGGTCTCAACCTACTCCTAACAAGAGGCCCAGGGGCCACATCGCTCACCTGAGCACTATGGCTAGGAAAAAGCAGAAATCACTTCAATCTTGAAAGGTTGAAAAGCTTAAATATAGAAGTGGTTGGGGGGGGGGGGGGGGTCATGAATTGAACAAATTTGAATCTACATTATCTGAGGATGCTTCCATTTAAATATGACCAATCATGGCTTTGCTGTTCTTGAGTAGAAGATTTTTAAAGATTTAAACTATGTATTCCTATGTAAAACTTTGATCACCCATTGTGGCCCCACCCGACCCCTAGGGGTCATGTTTGAACAAACTTGAATGTATACTATCTAAGAATGCTTCCATATAAATATGACCAATCATGGCTTTGCTATTCTTAACAAATAGTTTTTTTTAAAGATTTTTACTATGTGTTCCTATTTAAAACTTTGATCGCCTATTGTGGCCCCACCCGACCCCGGGGGGTCATGATTCGAACAAATTTGTATGTACACTATCTGAGGATGCTACCATATAAATATGACCAATCATGGCTCTGCTATTCTTAACAAATAGTTTTTTTTAGGATTTTTACTATGTGTTCCTATGTAAAACTTTGATCGCCCATTGTGGACCCACCTGACCCCCAGGGGTCATGATTTGAACAAATTTGAATGTACACTATCTGAGGATGCTTCCATGTAAATGTGACCAATCATGGCTTTGCTGTTCTTGAGAAGAAGATTTTCCCATATATTCCCATGTAAAACTTTGATCACCCATTGTGGACCCATCCGACCCCCGGGGGTCATGATTTGCACAAACTTGAATCTACACTACCTGAGGATGCTTCCAAGTAAATATGACCAATCTTGGCTTTGCTGTTCTTGAGAAGAAGATTTTTGAAGATTTTCCCATATATTCCTATGTAAAACTTTGATCGTCCATTGTGGCCCCACCCTATCCCTGGGGGTCATGATTTGAACAAACTTGAACCTACACTACCTGACAATAGTTCCACATGAGTTTCATCTTTCCTGGCCCACTGGTTCTTGAGAAGAAGATTTTTCAATAATGCCATTAATTTTTTGCTATTTCGTAATTATCTCCCCTTGGAGGAGGGTGTGGCCCTTCATTTGAACAAACTTGAAACCCCTTCACCCAAGGATACTTTGTGCCAAGTTTGATTGAAATTGGCCCAGTAGTTCTGGAGAAGAAGATGAAAATGTGAAAAGTTTACGACAACAACGACGCCGACGCCGACAGACAACGGACAAATTTTGATCAGAAAAGCTCACTTGAGCCTTCGGCTCAGGTGAGCTAATAAAAAAAACATTATCATAATAATAAATTTAATGCAAGTCATTGTGTTAGCTAACAGAAAGATTTATAGTACCATGCTTCTTGCCAGTTTATCTCGATAATTATTACATACATAGACCATTCAAAATAGAGCTACACCTGTTAATTTTATCATTCTTTAAAACTTATTGTTATTCATCTCCCATTTAAAAATCACCCTTTCATGGTAGAAATAACTTCAGGTAGGATTCTTCAAAGAAAAAATACGAGTTGCTGGTCGATTCATCATAAACACATATATGCATGTAAGTTCAAAGAATAATTTTCTTATTTGTACAGACCTCACTCTAACTGAATGCCCTTTACAATGTTTGCAATGTCAAATCATTGGCGGGAAAACCCAGCAAGAAAGCACGAGAGATTTAATACATACTTACCAGTAATTCTTGTATTATTTAGCTGTTTAGCAAACTTGTGAAAATGTTCAATATGTATTTTAAATAATTCTTGCCTAATCTATATTATTCAATTCAAATTCCTGGCTGCTGTCACCTCTAGGTCATGGAATATGGCGCATCCTTCTTCTGAAACTTACTTTAAATACGTAGTTAGCCGAAGTATCCGACCAATGAAATAACAGCAAAACTATGACTCGCTTGACGGAAAGGTCCGAGAAGATGCGATTGAGCTAAAAGCTCTGACTAAAAAAAACAAGGGTCGTTAAAACATCCTCATAATTAAATTTTTGTTGTTTGATGATATACAGTATACAGGCGCGGATCCAGGAATAGAAGTTAGGGGGCGCAGAAAGTAGGCAGGGGGTCTGGGGGCCGCCTTGAGGCCCCCAGTGGGTCCAGGGCGAAGCCCTTGTGGGGGCCCTGGGGGCGAAGCTCCTGGATTCTAGAGATTTTGTAGGGTAAAAATGAGTTCTACCAAGAAGAGATTTTTACATTTTCTTGACGAAACTATATAATTTACGCTTTGACAGTTTTAGGTGGGGGGGGGGGTGCGCCCCCCAGGCCTTAAATCCGCCACTGGTATATTAGGAAGTTACCATAGTTGGCCCAAAGGGAATATAACCTGGGAGGATTCATACGATTTTTTAAGATAATCAATGCTGGAATAATTGGTTCAATTCTATATGAAATCAGCACATAATTGGGTTCAGGTAAGTTTGCTAATATATTTTTAAGTACTGTAATTTGTTAAATTTATAAATTATCAATATTCTAAATTAAGTAATAATTAAAAAAATTATACATGTAATTTGCCAAGAATGGCAAACCTTGAGGAACATTATTTGTTTTAGCCTGTTTTTTCCAGTTCGTTCATTAATAGTTCATCCAAAGGTGTTATATATCAAACTTTTAAATCAAATTTTGAATGTGAGATTCATTTTGCCACAACAATAATATATTTAGAAAAATATTTGAAAATTTCGTATCCTTCTGAGCACCGTCTACAAAGTCTACTACTTGAGCTTTCATTAATCTGTTAAATGAAAACTTTGTAAAAACTAAACATGTAGCCGAGGAATTCCAGTTTAATCTTTAATGTAACGCATTGTCAAACATTCGGGAAAAATATATTAATGAACACGTAAAAAAAAAACATATTAATGAACACTATACTTTGCCAGATCACAATATAATTTTCTTAACTGATGACAAAACAAGATAATAAGACATTGAAAGAACTCTGTATGTTGTCTGTCCCCT